TGCTAACTTCATTTCGATTCTCCGCCTAATTGCTCATTTGTCTCAGATCCATTAAATGGAGTGAGCGGGTCCGAAAATTGTCCCGGCTGAAGATCTATTGGTCACAAATAGCGGCGGCGAATAACAAGGGTCAAGCCACCCCTGCTGGACGCTTGTCCAGCCAAGTGGGAGATTACTTCCCGCGGTGGGATTATTATGAGGCTACTGGACTGGTCTATCAGGGTTATCGAGTTAGTTTGGCCGACGCGACGACCTCAAGACTCTCCAATAAAAGATTAAAAAGATTAGAATGCAAGCTTTTATTTTCACGAACTTCGTCTCTGTTGTTTTCTAATATTTGAATTTTCGAACCCACACCTCGTTTCTGAATTTACTAGTTTCCTTTGCGGTGTACAGGGATTAGCTGTTGATTTACTTCTTCAAAAAACTGAAGGGTAAGTTTAAATTCGATTACGAGGTGAGGTATAAATCACGAAATTTATGTAGGTAAGCATTATAAGAAAGATTAATGTTCTTAATCCACTATCAATTATCCAGTTTTAGAGAAGAATAATATATTTTTTATACTTGTAGCTCCCTCCCCCACTTCCACCAAATAACAGGTTATTTTAGTTTAATACGTGTTCACATTTTTGTGTAACGGAATCAATCAACCAACGGACTTTTTAATTGACGTAATTACTTTACCACGAATTATTTGCTTAGTGTTGTTTCTGTCTCTCTAATAATATTATAAATTCATGCATGTGTGGTAATAACTATTTATTTTGTTGATGAAGTGTTGGTATTTTTTTTGTGACCTTTACTGCATGTGAACAATGAAAACATTATTTCTGGATTCTAGCCGGAAACTTCAATCGTTATAAAAGAGTACGAATACAGCGAATTAGACACGCATCCTTTAAACATTAATGAAAATTAGCATATTTAATAAACTAAACAGTTGTTCCAAGCTGTCTGTGTGGATATAGACAGACATGGTGTCAAAAAAAAGATAAGTTTTCCTGCTTGTATATTAAAATTACTTTTATACCCAAAATGATTTATAGTCATCATAATACACAATTTTGCAATTTAGACGATCTCGTATGATATGATCTTTTTTATTTTCAGTGTAGATTAATATAATTAATAATTGGAACAATTATATATTGGCAGTTGTCTCTCATAAACCACCCCAATTTTTTTAATACGGTTCAGTTTACATGTCTTATTTTTTAGATAACCGCTTACTGGTTGTGACATAAATTGTAAATGACATTCATTATCCATAACTGAATATATTTACTTCGCTAACACCATGCTACATCACATTGTTAAATGAGAAAAAATACCATTTATTTTAATGTTTTCTTTGTTATAAATCATATAAAGCTTACTAAATAAATGTGTTTTTTTTTTGTATGATAGAATTATTGTAGATGTACTTTCATTATGTCATACTTACATTTATAATAAAAATGTCATATTAAAATTAAATTCAAATAACATTGTTGTAACTCAAAGACTGATTAACCATACCAAATATTTAAAAATTTATAAAATAGGTATATTTTAAAATGGTACTTATGAATGTTTATTAAATTTATTAAATAGTTTGGACACATTTCGGGAGCACAGCTTTGTCTTGATTTTCAATACGCATTCACTTTTTTTTTATATATGATGTCATGGATCAATTTGTAATTTGTACGGTCAATATAATGTTGACATTGAATTAATGATCGGTCACTAATTTTACTAATTCACGACTGATTTATGACATGTGTCGTATATAAACGAAATATTAGATTTTGAATATTTTCCAATGAACACAACGAATTTTCACTTAATTATCACATACCTAAGAGTTTCAAAAATTCGTTAAAGGTTTAAATTCTTAGTTTCAAATTAATCAAAATCGAATTAAATTATGTAAAATGTAACAAATTAGTATATTTCAAAGCAAGTAGGAAAAAGCTGCATATGGTACGAATGTCAAAATTTCAGTGGCTAGTACACCATTTTTTTCTGAGGCCATAATTAATTTTTCTTTGATATTTTATTCAACTTTGTGTACCTACACATCTTGAGTCTCATTTTTGTCTTCAGAATCAATAACTTGAAAACAAATTATTTTCGGGGTGACAAAAAATGCTGTTTGTACACAACACTAACGCGTGAAACGTGAACTGAAATAATTCATGGGTTTAGTAGTTAAAGGGAAGGAAAAAATGCTTTGGGGGTTTTGAGTTTTGTAATTTTCAATCTTAGAACCAATTTAAGTAATATTGGTTTTCGAAGAAATTCAAAAATAGTTTTAAACACTTTTTTATAATATAGATAATGGTCGTTGGTAGTTTGAATATCGTGTATTATATGAACATTATTTAGATGTCATTCCATGGACTGTGATATTTTTGACAATATCGATGTTAAGCTAGTGGTTCTATAAAATTAGGAACACCGTTGGCACTTAATGTTACCATTCGCCATGTTTATTATTGTAAAGTAGGTAATGATAATTTGTTGTATAGTACGTTGCAAGGTCTATATTTGATAACCAACAAAATTTATTTTTGTTTATAATTCAACTACAATGTTATAAATAACTCCAGCTCTTTTGCAAACAACAGCTTCATATTTTTTTACAAAAAGTGTGTCTGCGTACATAGAATTAGATTACCGCTATGTGTATAGCAAGGTCTAGTGATCGGAAGTTCTGCATCCGCATTCAATTAAAGAACGCTGCATTATCAGCTGAACGGTTATGGTGCCATATGAAAAGCAAAAAACGTAAATATTATTTTTTTTGGGTTACTATAACAGAATTAGTGTAGCTTGAAAATTATTTATATAAGTAAAAAGTTAGTATCTATATCGATTACATTGAAATACCTCTACCCTCTATGTATCCTGAAAACGCTTAACCTCCAAGCCAAAAGAGTTGAGCAAAAATCTTGAACGAAGGTTAAACCGCCAACGTTGTGTGGGGTCTATTCAGTACTCAAATTTAAATGAGAGTTACTCTAGGCTGATACCATATTTGAAAACTAAATGTCACGAATATCGGGCCATGAAGTCGAAAGAATTAACTAAGAAGAAATTAATCGGTTCTTTCTGAACCACGAGAAATATTAAGTGACAACGGTAAGGAAACCGATATTAAATTAGCTATACTATGGTTTCATCCATATAATCTTTTCATATTGCTGTCAAGTCTGAAAAGAGCAAAAAATAAAGCTTGACGATACTAGCAATCCAGGAACCACATTGGTAAGACAGAAAGACGAAAAAACTCAAAACTGTTACAGTTACACTTGACCATTACTTAAAACTATACAAATACGTCGCCTTTCGTCCGCCTAATATGGATAAATCAAGATTTTTTATGAAGCACCATAAGAGAAAATATCACAGACAAGTTGCAGGCATCCATAAATTATCATCTAGTGTTCAAAAAGTAGTTTCTTTTTTTGATTTGTCAAATATAAAGACTACACTGACCATTGTTTGCGACGAACATCAGCCACAATACTGGTTAGAGCAGATGTCGATGGGATAGCGTTAAAGAGGCACGAAGGGTGGAAATCGTCTGCAGTAACTGAAAGCTTTATACACAAATAGGTTAACAAACGACAAAAACAGCATTCAACTGTACCGTTAATTTTTTTTTTTTTTGTTATAAACAAACTACAAGCATGAATATAGAAATCATTTTTAATTTGTACAAAACTGCGTTTTCGGACCTCGTAAGATCGCTGGACTCCGCCTCGCGTCGTCGAGAAACTTTAATAAAACAATCATTTTTCATGACACTAAAACACATCATTATTTTGTCTACTGTATTTCTTATCATATACCCAGTTATGACTAGTTTTTGAGTAGGTATTTGTCATTTTCTGAAATTTCCCTATTCCAATCATATTTTTAGTCCCACACAAAAAGTACTGGTTTATTAGATACAGACTTAAAAAAATTGCAGAAAATCAACCCATAATTATGCTCACATGACCAAATATCAAAGAAAACAATGAACATATTACACAAAGCATTAAAGAAGCATAACACAATTTCACACAGTAAGTTGAACATGCATTTTATAGCATAATAACATTCTTTGCTTGACACATGAAGCGTGTAAATCTCTTAATACGACCTTCGCCTAAGAAACTGTCCTATACATGAAAAGAAATAAAGCTTTTGCCCGATTAGGTCATAATCGCTTAGAAGGTATTTTCCGCAGGCTTGTTCTTCCAAAGCGGATATTAATTTTTTATAATGCATTCATAATTTGTTGACTGTTGTATGGCAAGTAGCCTCTTACAGAGTGTTTAAAATTGGATAACGGTTCGTAGAAGTGTACTTAATTGAGTGTTGACATACTCTATGATATAAAAATGCATTTCCTGTTAGATGATTTGGTTGTGGTTTTGCAGCAGACTGCACAGCATCGAGTGGCATTTACAGTATTTATTTACGTTAAATTGATAGATGCTTTAGAAATTTAAAAAGATAATTATGATTAAGTAAGATAAAAATAGCACTTCTTTGGACGTGATATTCCTGATCATGATGTGTGTAGTGATTTTTATCAATATGAAAGACGTCAATCGGTCTATACACATATACATCTAATATTAATATGCTAGATAATTTCGTCGCACAATGAGTATATTATAGACATCGAGACTTAAAACAAAAGTGATTTTTATCACTAGAGCACGTAGAGCGATAAAGGTTTAATGGACTTTAAATTAAAAAGAGATCAATGATCGATAAATTATTTTTGATGGAACATCCTTGTTGCATAAGGTACGTTCGGGCACAGGTGTCACATCCTTGACAAGGAACACTTGGCCCATCCTCTTTACTGTTTGTTTAATCCTTTAGCACATGTGAGATTATAGAAAAAAATTAGCACTTATCATATAAGAATCCGTCACCCACATCCGCATGACCAAAAGTAAACAAAAGCCATCACTTTTACGCAAAGACAGTGATTTGTTTACAAAACATACCTGATGAAGTGGCCGTTGGAGGCCTGCCTCTGTAGGTCGAGATCAATTTTGAAGCAGTTCTCGAACAAAGGGCTCACAAAACCGTATCAACAGAAATGGACGCACCGCACAATCGCACTGTTAATTACAATGTCCTATTGTCAAAAATAATGGCAACATTGACGGCATAGGTGTAAATACGTGTATCCGAACGAGACGCACCGAACTCTATGCAGTTGTGGCATGATCGGAAGGTGTGAAGGAAGTAGGCATGCGCACCAGCTCGCAGGAGAAGACGTCCAATGGGGCCCGTGGGCGGGGTCTGGAGCATTATCTACACAACTTGTGGTTCCAATGCTGAATGGAAACGCCTCTTGATTGTTATGTTAATTTTTTGTCTCTTATTCTTTTATACAGGTGTTTTTGAATTGTGCTGAGTATACTATTTTTTTGTGTGTATGTTGTTGTTGTTGACAAAAGGCATGGATGGAAGCGAATAGCCTCCTCTTTCTACGGTCGCGCCATCAATGGGTGTCAGTTTCAAAACTTGAATGTTGGGATGATCTCGAGTGCCTTGATGGTATTGTGCCACTTTTTAATTAACTTATTTTACGCAGATCGTCATGGGAAACGCACTCTCATAAGTCCATTCAGATATGGAAGTTCATAAAGTGGCGGAGTATTAAAAGAAGGGAAATCTGCAGTGTGGATAATGCTATCAGTTAGGTATAGATGCATTGTGATAACGGCCAAGTGTGAATTATTTATTGAAATCATGTAATATAAATACAAAACGACCTACAACATAAAAAAATGAATTAAATAAAATTCCAGTTGATATCCAGGTGCGTTGTTTGTATTACCCTTTAATAAGGGTTGAACCTTTTTTTTTACAATTTCAGGTATTTTAAAATTATCATCTTAATAAAAATACATAAATAAATTTAATTTGTTATTATCAAAAATTTTGTATGTAGCTATACGAGAAATTATTTCTTTTTATGACAATAGGGGAGAGCGGGGATAGTTGTCACAAAATTTGTATTTGATTTTTTTTTTACCGGATGTATTATTTTTCATGAGTAAAGGAATTTTGATACAAAAGACACAAGTGTTGAGATTCGTAGAAAAAGTAGATCACTAACAAATCTTTAGTAGTTCAAGTAAAAAAAAAATAGTTTGTACCAGAGTGCAAAGTGTGACAACCTGCCCCATGACGGGGTTTGTTGTCCCTCGGGAGGGGGTAACTTGTCACGTGCTAAAAAAGTGGACAAAATCGCAAATACAATGTTTTTATTAAGTCAGTACAAAAATCAGAGGAAAAGTTGAGGTAACTAAATATTTTGAATTTTGAGTCACACTCAATAAGCATATAAAAAAATAACGAAAACTCCTTTGTGCTACAAAAATGTATAACAATTTTTATGAACTATCATCATCATCATCGGAATCACAATTGTGACACACATAAAATAGATTTCTGTTGGCGCATTTTTCATGTGCCCATCTCTTACACCGGGTGCATTGTAGCCAAGAATCTTTTGAATTACTGTAGTTGCCGTCACACACTAAGCAAAAAGTTTCTTCTTCTTCAGATGAAGATTCTTGCTTATGCTGCTTCCTCTGGTATTTCTTTTTCTTGTTGCTTGAAACAGAAAAATTTTCAGAAAACAAGTTTCGTTTGGGTTTCTCAGCTTTATTCGCTCTTGCAACCTGCTCGGCCTCAAGTTCATCCTTAACTGGGGTATCCGTTAAAATAGCAGATTTACGCTTTTTTCTTTGCTGTTTTGTGTTTTTTCTCTCTTGAGCCTTTGGTAAGGGACGAATAGCTTCTGGAGAAAAAGCCGACTCAATCGCAGATATGGTAGATGCCGAAGATGCACTTGTCGAACTCCAAGATTCTGCTTGAGCAGAAGTTGAAGGTGATAAAGTGTTCGTTGTCATTTCAACGGGTTGTAACAAATTGGCAGATTCTTGATTTGGATTTGGCCGATCTGTTACATAACTTGGAAGAAAGTCCTGGTCTGAGAAAATATCTCTATTGAATGGATAGATGCCACTCACTTTAAATCCAGATGTTACATTATTAGGAACAAGTGCCAATGGTATAGCATTTCCTACAATGCCTGGAATATCGTAGATGGTAATGGTCTTACCAGGATTAGTTCTTAACCATGACTCACAGTTTGAATTAATGAATTTTTTCAAGGAATAGAAAACAGATCTATCTAGTGGTTGCATCTTGTGGCTGCAGTGAGGAGGGAATGAAAGCATGACCACTCCGTTATCTTTGGCGAAATTTAAAGATGCTATTGATAGATGTGAATCCAAATTATCTAGCAGTAATAAAATAGGACTCTTTTTCGTACATTTCACTGTAGCAACCAAATGCTTCATAAAAGTTAGAAAAATATCATTATTCATCCAACCTGAGCGATTTGCTGCTCCAATACTTCCTGCAGGTGCTCCTCTTAAGAAATGGTCTTTGAAATGGACTCTCGGGAAAATAAATAGAGGAGGAATACTATTTCCTGAAGCAGAGACTGCAATTGCAACAGTCACCAGCGTCCCTCTTTCTGTAGAAGTTATTGCACCAATTTGCCGAAATCCCTTTCTGGCTACAATACGGTCAGGACGCTGGACAGTCGTTACCCCGGTTTCATCCATGTTGTATATATCTGTAGGACGAAAAGAATAACGATCAAATAAATTCGCCAAATTGTCGAAGAAGGCTGCCACGTTCGTTCTGTTAAAACTAGTAGCTCTTGACAAGCTTGTGGATTGTGGTGTACGGATTGATAACCTGGGGTGCCTTTTTAAGAAGCCGGAAAACCAATCTGGACCTGCCATAAGCGTGTCGATCCATTTTTGTGGCATGACTTTCCCTAGAGCTTTGGCATAATCATACGCAAGTCGCTTCACCTCCTTGGGTGTTAGACCAAAATAAATATCTGCGGCTTTTTTTAAATAATTTTCGAGCTGCATTTCTTCCTCTTCACTAAAAACTTGTCTGGGTTTTTGATACCCCATCTGTACTTTTGTAATATTATTCGCTAACTCTTCTGGAGTAACTTTCTTGCAGAATCTTGACAAAGTTTTGTAATTGATGTTGTAATCTGCAGCAGCTTTCCTTATGGAAGAAATTCCATTTCGAATATCCCTTGCCGCTCTGAGGAAAATATCTGCGGGGGGAATATATCGGTCCGTCTTCTTCTTGTAAGTTCTAACCATCTGCAACGAATGGTGGTCATTGTCTTAACTTAGTATTATCGTTGGGGGCATGTTGTCACAGTGACAATCTGCCCCACAGATTGTGTGACAACTAGCCCCAACCGACATTTTTATCGATGAAAATCCACCAAATTATTGATAGTCAATGTAAATGCATTATTCTAGCACAAAAACACAACTTAATATCTACTAACTTAAATACATTACTTACACTTACCTTTAATTTAGAAACAACTGTATTACCACATAATTTTCGGCATACGAAACTTTACTAAAACGTTTGAATAACACTTTTTCAGCCATTAACACCACATGGTACAGATTACTGTATTGAAAGTTTGTAGTTTAATTCTTAGCTGGTAAAACAATTCATTGGTAGAGGTCGCCACTTAGAGTGAATATTAGCAAAAAAATTATCAGCTCTGAGACACTTTGCCCCTGTGACTACTAGCCCCGCTCACCCCTACAGCATTCTCCAAGTCGACTTATAAATGTTTACTTACATTTACAAAATCCCGTATATTAAAAAATAGGACTAATAATATTAGATATTAAAACAAATTTCAAAAAGTATAGAAATGGTTTATTATTATTATTTCTAGTTTATAATGTCTCAGAAAAATAATTTTAATGTGATTTTCGGACACCGCTATATAAACTTTTTAAAATCGTGTTACAATTTTTGTTCATTTTGTTGTTAAGTAGTTTAACTTGAGATGGATTAATATTATAGTATCTGTTTTTATTATCAAATACATACACTTATATGGTAAGTATAATGGGTGTTCCAAATTGTATTAGACAGACCTTGTTAATTAAGGTAAAATAAGTAGATATAAGATCGGTATAAGATAAAACTTTACTTAATGATAAGATTTGAAATTGCACCTTCAAAATGTTTTTGTACTAAGTATAGGTGTACTATGGAGTTTATCGATTAAAATTTTTTTGACACTGTGCCAGGAGCAGGTACAAATCTGTGTCAGGGATGTATTTTTTAAATTTCAAGTTACTGCCAAAGTTTTATTATTATTGTTATTATTATTATATGAGGCGTACGAACGAAGGCATAATTCTTGTTGTGCCCGCGCACTGACGTAAATTTAATTATATTTAAAAAATAAAACCTATTTTAAAAATCTTATTTCAGTAAAAAAAACAGGTATGGTACATAAGTATAAGTATCGTTTGTATTTTTTGGTAAGTTTAAATTTTATATTTTCTTACTTTGTAATTTTTTTCAGTTAGAACTCCTATATTTTTACCGACGACTAACCAGTAGGTGCAGGTTATGTTGCAACCGACGCTAACTCTGGTTCTGTGCTGTCCAACCCTTCAAAATCATCTAATAAAATTTTAGTAGAGACAAAAGAAAAACATTCAAAGTAGATATATAGGTACTTTGCAAAATAACTATGTACCACGTGACATTGTAAGTAATTGGAACATATATCGCTGCATACTAAACTCACTTGACATACACCATGGAAAACTTTTATGACTTAAGTGGTTTAAGCCTAACAACTCTCAAACTGGCGATTGTGTAACTTAACTCAGTTCACATATAGGGTAAATGTGTACAAGAGTGCGCATATGTATAAGAGTACGCACTGATGATTTCTGCTTATTAGTGCCATCTGGGTAAGATGAAGTTATACCATTCAGAATTTAATGTTAAACCTGAGATAAAGGTGCAAAAGTGACCTGAATATAGTTTATAGTTTGGTCGTACTGACGATTTTATGTTCACACGTTGTGTGGATGTAATTTTTACCGCTCATAGTTTTAGTTTTTTGTAAGGTACGTACCAGTTCTTTTATTTTACAGTAATAATTTTCATTAGTTGTAACTTTTAAGGTGTCGTTATACACTAACAGTTTTACACTTTCTGTCCATCAAAAGCTTTTAACTTTGAAAACATTAGGTTATGTACAAATGTACAAGAGTGCGCAGCGAGGTATTGTATAAGCGTGCGCATTGCTTGCAATATGTAGTCTAATAGTCTTGGAGATAC